TGAATGTTTCCGCGTTCACCATGTTTAACCCTCACTTCGTGTTAAGTGTTGTATATCTATTTTCCCAGTTATCTCACGTTCAACTTTGAGGATTGTGTGGTTATGACTAATACCACTACAAATCTACTGCTCAAAAACTACATATATGGGAGCTCTCTGATCAACAACTTGAATCCATTGCTGTAGTTTACATACAGACCTAAGAGTATGCTCCTGCAACTTATCCTTTAATCTATAAGATCACGAAAACCAGTGATTTCACAAGGATCTAACTTCGTTACCACAGTTATTGAGAGACAACTGCTTATCGAATAGCAAGGCACGAAAGTCTACAAGTTATTGTTTGCAATAAAAAATATCGTCAATATCAACTGTTAGCTTTTTTGTCCCAATTCAACCACGACAAACTTTAATCGGGACAATGGCAACAACATGACAGAAATGCACAGTGAACGAACACATTCGATTCTGGTATAACTGACAAGAGTAGAAAGGCTTAACACCCGAACTTGGTCAAGAGCCTCAGTTACAGCCACAATCACATTACAATAAACATATGAAGGCCTATTTATCTATATTAAAACCTTTACTGCGCCGAATGTGGTAGATGCGGGCTGCGCTCAGGCTTAGGTAGTATATCAAACTTGCCTTTCTGAAATTATAAACCTGGATTAGAACTCACGGAAAAAGTTAATACACTAGATTGATCGCGTTTAAAGTTCTAGATATGAATCCCCTCAAAACCCATGAGCCAGGATATGATGAAGTTGTTGATAATTTTTTTGAAAATAATTCGACGGTGAACAATTAGGTCTAATTTTAGATAGATGATAAAAAAAAGAGTTGTTCGAATGGTAATACACGAGTCAACTTCACTTGGTTGGATTTTGTTCGTTTTAGGATCCGGAACGATTTGTATTCAATAATAAAATATAAGGACAGAAGATCAGGTGATCCATGTTAGTCCTAGTGATTTGGGGCACTGTAAAAACCTGAAGTTATTTGACTTACCGGCAGGATGCGTTGACATATGTTTCTACAAAGAATTCTAAAGATTCACAGCTGGATACAAAATACGAGATTACAGTTGTAGATAGTTAATCTGTACTTTCGAACGTTTTGTGAACGTCTTCCTGATTAATCTCAGACGGAAGAGAAAGATGAGACATATTGATACCATAATCGTCTTTCAGTTATTGTTAAGCCAGTATTAGGGCACCTCATTACTAGCCACAAGATGGTGAAAACAGGTTCATGGACCTCAGTCTAACTACATACGCTAAGCCAGGAAGACCCGTAGTTATTTTGACCTCTCGTCTCCAAGGTCCTCCAAGTATAGCATTTTTATATCCGAAGCAAGAATTCGATGTTTGAATCTCATATTCTGAGGTTTGAGCTAAACAAACTGGATGTACTATCCTAGACAATTCCTTATGACATATTCGCAGTCATTAAGGGTTGTAAACTTTTGGCAAAGCCGTCTTAACATTACTCTGAGTTCTACAGTGATTATTTATTATGATTACAGAGTTTTCATGAAAATCAACCTTGGATACACCAATCCATTTAATGTGTAACTATGGGAATATTTCTGTGACTGATTTCCGTTGCTACAATCTTTCTGGAATTCTCTTTTTAATAACCGCTGGTCCACTTGTGCATTCCTGTAGTTTTATCATATCGGACACACCGCTTATTGGTTTCCATATTTCAACGTAACTCACCTGCGGTAAATTCATGCAGGGTAACCGATCTAATTTTAGATACGAAATTACACAGTGGCATAGTAAAATATGAAAATCATACATCAAATAAATATTCATGTCACCTTTGCGTTATCACTCACGCCAATATTCCCGCTCCTGTTTGTGGCTACATACAACGTATAGCTGTCAGTATAAGTAGCATACACCGCACTTGTCCCTCCTTTGAACGACAGTCACTTTCGCCGTCGTCCTACTCGCCACGCCACGTCCTTCTTTTTTGCAGCCTGTGCCAAACATCACCTCGAAATGTCGATTCTGCCAGCGCTCTGATCTCCGTAGCAATGTCAGTCTGCCGGGATATCTAAATCCACTGTCCGTCCAGCCACTAGACGTCCCAGTTCTACCCCTTCTCTTTCTCTCTCTCGACAGCGACTGGTACAGTCAACACCGCTCCTCCAGCCAACTCCACTCGACGTCCTCTTCCTGCCAAACCTCCGTTCTCAAAGAACAAAGGACACATCGCCATTGTCAGTGTTAGCGGCCGCCCTCGTAGCGTCGTTATCTGAAGACATTTTGGGAAGCCCTCAGCCCTGTAAAAGTGATTGTCCACAAATGCCAGTAAACTTTATGGAGTAGAAGTGGAGTGATTTCATCATACCTCTACTTTTGTCTCTTTATATAGTGGGGTGACATTTTATGGCTTATTTAGGATATACAATCATTCATTTTTAGTATAAATGTATGTAATTACTTATAAGCATTTCATTCTGTCTTAGGCCTACAGTAAATGGATTTGAATACTTTACTACCTGTAGAGCTGAGCATGTTCAAGTGTCTCCTATGTGTTAGGAGTTTCTTGACCTCTTTTGCTATTTATGATGAGCAGATGTTTAATTTACATGGTTTTCAACATGGTATAAGTAGGAATGTAATAGAGTTTAATACACCTTTAAGTTTAGGGCAAGTAAAAATGTTACGGTTACGCAGTGTTTGTAAACGCTACTGTCCGACAATTCTTCTTATATAAGGATCCCAAAGTAACAGAGCGAGAAGTCTAAAACGAAGGTATGGGAAGATATATATGAATGATGATCTATATATTCTATTAGGAAAAGATAAAATCCGGTTCAATCATGTTGATACTGAACAAAAACTACTGTCTCAACTTTTGACATTCGTTTAGTTCTAGTACAGTAAAGGGAATTTTGTGACATCATGGTCATCTGTCAGTCAAACCCGGTTATTCGTTTGTCGAGGCTTAATACATGTCGCCGGTATCAGCGAGCCCACATTGACTTCCTGGCAATCCAGTAATCTTTTATGTAATCATACGCCCGTGGGGAATGCGTCCTTAGATGTTCGTACTTCTGAGTATATCTGAATATAATGCGCTATGAAAAGCGAAGCTCACATATCAGACCGTCTAGTCTTCACAAGGTGTTCCAAGCATTTGCGCACATCAGGATTTCGGAGCTACAGAAAATAATTTGTACAGCTGACATATACCTTCCTGAAAAACGCTCTTAGGACATGGAATGAACAAAGTATTATGTTAGAATGACTGTGCGTAGACTGTACAGCCGAAATTTCGGTCGCTGCCGAATCCATAATGAAAGTGCGTGTAGCCTAAGTACCGCACATTATCTCTTTAAAACATTCCAATAGTTTTTCGATATGTTCGCGTCGTTCTTGACTGCAAAGAGCATACATAACAGTGTGCCCTTGCCCAAGACTATCAGTGACCACTAGCTGGAACAGTGAAAACTTTCAGATAAATTTATTACTAATCGTCACTTACCCGACTTTATTGGTCTGATAAGTCGAATCAATACATATTACCTCTGGGAACGCGTGGCAAACGGCTATTTGCTCTCTGCGGCTGAAGCAAATCATAGACGTGTTCCCATTTTCATTGAATACTTTAACTTCAGTATTTGCTTGAATGCGCTGTAAAATGTCATTGATATTTTTAGTGTCTAAACTCAATTAATTACAATGTGAGTTCAACAACCTGGGTACAACTGTGAACGCATTCTGGCGATATCGTGCTTGGTAAGCTGTTTATTGAACTTCAAAGAAACCAGATACCGTAAGCTACGAGTTGGTGCATTACTCAGTAGAAACGTTCTTAAATACAAGCGTTCACTTGAGGTCAACTGTCGTTTCGATGGATCTACAGAAATATATCCTTCTGTGCAAGGATGGTTATGCACGGTTTTAATAGAGGTGAGTTTCAACTCACCATTTACTGCCCGGACCCAAAATCCTGATTGACAGTGGCAATATTTCGACCTGAAAGATAAATTCATTTGAAGTAAGGCATACGTAGATGACCGACGTCGTCTCTTTTGCCTAGGTTGTGTTGGCGAGTTAGAAGTTGTATGCTCTTCAGAAGAATGATTATTACTATCATCATCTACATCCTGAACGCAAGCATCTGACTCTGACGAACTGCGTTTAAACGCAGGGGGAAAAAGGGGAAATAAAGGGGTAAATGCTATGGTAGCAAAAGGGGAAATATAGGGGAAAACGCATCAGAATGTCGCCTTTTTCGCCTGTCCGGGGGAAATAATGCGGATTTTCCCCTTTTTCGCCTTTTTGTCGACAAATTACGGACTTATCGCCTAAATATCCGCTAAATTGTCGCATTTTCGCCTAAATATCCGCTGAATTGTCGCATTTTCGCCTAAATATCCGCTGAATTGTCGCATTTTCGCCTAAATATCCGCTGAATTGTCGCATTTTCGCCTAAATTTCCGCTGACTTGTCGCATTTTCGCCTAAATTTCCGCTGAATTGTCGCATTTTCACCTAAATATCCGCCGAATTGCCTACTTATGCGCTTAATTGTCTACTTTTCGCCTAAATACACACGTTACCTACTATTTTCTATCCATCAACAGAACCCCAAAGGTCTCCTATGTTCGCCTTCATTTTCAACAACAGACCAAAATATATCTGCAATGCAGTGGAAAAGCGGTAAATATTTCAAAAATTTTATTGAAAAATAAAAGCGTATTATTGTACAACAGAAGAGCACAAGCAGAAGCATCGATTGTTATGCATATCCAATGCAATTGGTAATACATTGTTATTTGAAATTATCTGAAAAAAAACGAACAGGTTATAATGTATTCATAAGAAATGTGCATTTAATCAATAGTTCACTTAAACTCAAACACCCATTCTCAACACTTCAACAGTTTCCCATGTAGGTAAAACAGTAAGCTGTTTGAAAGAATAATGTTTATTGAAATGGAGGTACAACATCAAAGCAATTGCACGGACTAATCACAATTGGGGTAGTCGTCCTGTGAATTCTGAATTTTAAAAAAAAACAAAAAAATAGTCACAACCATATCTCAATGACATGCTTTTGCACAACCAAATACTTGAAGCTGAACTTACGGTTATGTTCGTCAGTATTGTTGACGTGAATTTACTGGCAACCTCCGGTGTCAGCAGATGCGACAGAATAAAACGCATGGACGTTTTTGGATCGTCACCTGATAACCTAGTGACCATTGCCATCTGTAATAGTAACAAATTATTCAATTCATGTTAATGACTTACAAATCTGTCCCTGGTTTCTTTCTGCGACAAACCAGTGTCTAGCATCTGTAGTTCCTCTTCAGATGACAAAGGGAACTCCTGACTTGACAGTCCGCAATCGAATTCATGCGGTCTTTCGCGCTCATTAGACTTTGAAAGCAATTGGTTAACATTAACATTCAAGTTCGTAATGGCGGACGACATGTTGTTAATCGTTTGAGTCAAGTCAGTGATAGCTGACGACATCTTCAGCACCACCGTATACAATCTATCACAGGTAAAAAAGGTAACTAGATGATGTAGGTAACTTACTGGTCCAATACAGTGCCACCAACAGGCTTACATTGCGATGTGGATGGTGATATCTCTAATTGTGTTGAACTAAATAGTGAATATCTAAATAGTAATTAAACGTACTTGGCGATTGGCGATATCACTTTGTTGAAAACACGGAATTTTGGATATTGTACGCGGCTATTCCCAGCCTGCATTTCAGCCACATCCATGTCAACTGAATTGTAAAGAAAATCTTCTTTACGCTTCATTAAACCTCTAGGAAATGTAAGTAAGATTATTGTACAGACCTCTTTGGCTTCTCAGTGTTCAGTGGCAAAGTGTTTTCATCCGTAGAGGTGTTTTTCCTTCGACATTCCAGTACCTGTAGGGCAGCTAACAGGTCTTTTGCTGACTGCAGAGAATCTATAGTGAATTATACTTTCTGTGTCTGTAGCCTACCTAATTCGTGAATCACTTTACATTTCATAAGCGACCAATTTTCATTCGGTTGGTCGCACTTCTGCAGGTGTATATCGACCAGCTCGTTCGGAAGAACGCAAAGGTCATTGCCAACTATCCAGTTCTTTGATGCTATCATAAGTTGTTTTTCCTGTAGGACGTCAACAATAACGTATTTCTTGTTAGTTGGCTAAAAAGAAAAAAAGACGTAAGTAAATGATTTATCATCATTACTTAAACACTAATGAAACAAAATGCATTTACAATAAAGTATGCAACAATGGGATTACAACTATATAATTGATACAATTTATGGCTATACATTTACAATCAATGTCCTGAACCGATACCCAGGAGTATTCGTGGCTAACTACGGAGCACATAAAGATTCCAATATCACTAGATGGGAAAGGATCTTCAAAGTAATTGCGTGGGTCAGTGAAAGTCCTAAATTTTAGTAGTCCATCCTCCTTTATATCAGTGACTAAACCTGGCTGGCCGTTAACTACTACTACATTATCAGGCTGGCATGAAGTTATTTTACTGTTGTTACACATAATTACTTGTTTACTGGAGACATCTTTATGGCCTATTGCGGTAGTATTTGTTAAACCACTAATTTGAAGCCTATCGCTGAAGGACATTCTCTCAGCATAACGCTGTGCTGCTTGCTTAGCTACTGCAAACCCACTACGCACGGAATCCTTAATTTTTCTCATATAAGACTCGAATGGAAAGGCTGAAAAACTATCTAAAGGTCCATGTGCACGAACGTCGTCAGGGAGGTGCTGTAACGAATGCACATTGTAGACTAAGTTTTCACACCCATAACACCATTCGTATTCATTCAGGAAGTTTACTAAATCTATTTTGGCGGTTTCTACAAAACTTTTATGTAATTGTGGATGTGCAAGCAGATACATGGATAACGCTAAACGCCGAAAATTAAGATAAAAAGGTTGTGGCAATGTTTTTTCAAGAATCACCGGGCCTATATACAGAAGGAACAATCTACATTCAGAAGCTTTCCATGCCGATACAAAGTCTAGTGTGCGGCATTTACGGGGAAAGTCAGAAGGAGTACTTGCCACACAACGAGATATTAAATTATTTATGTCCCGAATTGCACATGAGTTAAAGTTCCGCAGTCTTCGGTGTGCTAAATTTATCCATAAATTAGCTAGTTTTTTGGTAACACCAAGGTACACCATGTGCATAGGATCTAGAGGAAAAGTTACAATCATATTAATAGAAAGCGTTTCCATTATAGAATGTCCTTGATGGTGAGTTGGCTGAGTCTGACGACGGAAGGTGTCGTCTGTTCTTACAGTATATACCCCATTTGGAAAGGTCATCTTACCCTCCAGTCGTCTCCCAGGAACAGTACACCTATCGCAACCTGCCTTACCGTTATGATTCACCGTGTACCTAACAGAAGAACGAGCAGGTGCGTCACATATAACAGCCGCCAACGTAATAGCTATACATTTATTAAACTTAACACTAAAAAGACCCACGTCAGTCATTTCTTTTATTTCAGAAATTGTGTCTGCAGAAAATTCGTTGAATTCTGCCGGCTTACTATTCCCTCCGTAGATCCCTATCATGAACACGTCACTAAGCCGAGGGGCAATGATCCGTCCAAGTATAGGCCATAACTGTTGATTGGAGCTTCTAGACATAGAAAGTCCATCTATATTGACATACAACTTTAAAGAGTCAAAATCAATAGTACACAACCAAAGCTCAACGTATCTTAGCAGATTGGTTTTCAATCCTAGATGGTAGTAAACCCCACTGCCGATGAACTTGCGTTGAACACTTGGACATGTCTTCAAAACGCCTCTGATACTTTTCGGTATGTCCGGGATAAGAAATCTTAGACCATACAGAACCCGATCAGCATCTTTTATACTCAGTGATGTATTTGACATTAGATACATCATAAAGTCGTTCATCTGTTCTTTGCGATTCACGAACTTCGTTGAGCACAAGTTCACTTCAGTACATCCTATAAGAAATATATTCACGTACGAATTTAATGTTCATACCACTATTAGCTGGAAGCCTTTGATTGAAGTTGCTAGTGGACGGTGTACTAATCGAAGTACTTTCATTACAACTGACTTCTCTCTTTACTTATATCAATTAAGTAAACAACATTGTTAAACTCAGTTACCTTTTACGGTGCTTTCATTCGCAAACTCACTGACCGAAGGAAAGTGATATTTTTTCATGAAAGCAGCTCTCATTTTATTCCACCTCCGATTATAAGTGGTTCTGTGACAACCAAGGGAACGTGACAAGTTCACAGTTGCCCTACGTCTACGAACATTCTCACTGATATCAGAAAAAGTCATATTATTGGCCTAAGAAGGTAATCAGTCACAATGAACCTAAAGTCCTGAAAGCACGTCACTCACCTGCATCACGTAAGTTTTTTGTGATGGCTCCAAAGCATGTCGGAACACTTTAACTAAACAACAAACGAAGTCACTGTATATGCGTATCAACCGAAAGCCTGGTTCCGTATTTTGTACATTGTTTTTATGAAAATACTTTTGTTTTTTTAATTGGCGGTGAATACATTTGTCGAAGTTTATGAAAACTTCAGTTCCAGATGCGGTTAATTCAAACACTGTACGTTACGTAGAACTGTCGACAAATGTCCCCCAAATACACGACGTCAGGGGGAAAAAGCGACATTTCCACTAAATAACCGACGTTAAGGCGAAAAAGCGACATTTCCCCTTTATTTCCCCTTTCGTCCGCTTTATTTCCCCTTTTTTCCCCTTTATTTCCCCTTTTTGTGTTGCTTGGGATTACGTCCATATGTACAGACATATATCACGAAAAAGTACTTTAGAGTTGGATCATCACTGTTCTTTTTGCATACTGACATAACGTACTTAGTATGCGTATACTAAAAAAATAATTATTAACCACAGAGGTCATATTACCTTATGTACTTCTTTCAAACAGGTTTCAAAATTGTCCCAACTTGTAAATCTTCGAGATAACATAATATCATTGAAGATTCGTCCTATATCATGCATCATCACGATGGAATCGTCTTCGTTACTTGAAGAATGAACGTTATCAGACATAGTGTGGCTGAACTCAATTCAAATCTAAAAATGTCTTGATTTGACCGCTTCTGAAAATTTTCACAAATTGTCGATGTGACGCACCAATCATTTTGCGACAGTTTGACCTTCAAGTGCTCGCAACCCCCATCAGTGGACGATACCGTAGGAGCGTTGCCGAACATGACGCAGAACACGACGGCTGTTGTTAGCATCTGTTTATTATGATGCATTTCTTTTTCAGATTGCTGTTGTTGCTTCAGTATCGGCAGTTGTTGCTATTTCAGGTGTCGTATTGGGACTAATATTCAGACCTAAGAAGCCGAAAAGAACTCTTGTGGATAATGATACGAAAATTCCTTTACGAGTAGTGGATAGAAGTGTAGGGTATCTTTTTCTAAGCCCCATAAATTAGTTCATCACTCATGATACAATCCGCCTAAAACTAGGTCTCCCCACAGCTGACCATGTTCTTGGATTACCTGTTGGTAAAGTTTCTTAACCAATTAGTTACCGTTCCTTTTAGGTAATCATGTATACTTCAGTGCGAAAATTGATGGGAACTTAGTGGTTCGACCCTACACTCCGATCACACTAGACACCCAAAAAGGATATGTTGACTTTGTCATAAAAGTAAGTCTTCATATTGTAGCTCAGTCACATACTTCTGCTATTTCCAGTGTACATAATTGTTTTGTTTGTTTTGCATTATATCTAAGCGATGGTCATCCAGTTTTTAGAGACCAATTATGGAGACAGTCATAGTACAGGAGATTTTGATTTTAGGAAGAGATCACTGTTTAATCTGATGAGGTAGTCGAGCTAAATTTCACTATCTTCACGATAACCTCTCTTTATTACCAGTATATAGTCATGAATTGTACAAGATAATAATACCACCCAGTTATTCCCACTCGCCGATCTCATTAGTTTCTGTAGAATTATGTTTTTCTACCCAGCTTTCAGCTGAAGTGGATATTATCTAATATAATCTGCTTCATATTCCGTTGATTTTTTCATGTTGTTCTGATATAAAGTGTGGCAGCAGCAACCAACGAGTCTGTTTCACCTTTTTATTTACGTGTCAGCAGCCTCGTATTACATGTCACCCAGTATCTGGTATCTCTATGGTGATCTGATGTAGACCAGCTGACTTTGTTTTCGTGTCTTGATATTAGAATATGGTTCTACTATGCACGGTAAAATGTAAAATCCACTGTGATATGAAGGAATAGCTCTAAAATAGGAAAAAGGATTGCGTAGCATAGCATGAGCGTATTGTTAAAGCGACTGGAGCTGGTAGGTTGTCCATCAGTTTAAGAATCCATGTCTTCGATTCATAGGGTGCAGAATTCATAAGCTTAAAGTACGACTACTCATAAGTATGTTCAACATCTTATGGACAGGATCCCTTCACAATGCTGTTGAGTACGGCATACGTCGACTAATCACCCAGTAGTTCTCTAGTTACTGTCTTAAGGAAAAGTACCACTGTACCAACCACTTGATTGATCTCGTCATTTTTAAAGTTGCGATTATTATTCGTATAGCTCAACGTTATTACTGTTGTTTAGGTGTATAAAGGAAACGTTAATCCTAAATTTCCCAAAGGTGGAGTTATGTCACAATATTTGGCTAGTCTCCCTATCGATGGATTTATTGATGTTCGTGGTCCATCTGGAAAATTGGAATACAAAGGGTGTGGTATGTTCTAGTGGCTTTTGTAACTCCTTTCTATTATTGCTGAAGTCGTTTTGGGTCACCTTATTTATACTATTATTGGGCTAAAATTTATTCTAGCTGAAATCTGTCGATTTACGCAGTCAATGGACCTAATATAATACACTACACTACTTAAAAATGTAGAAAACAGTTTTCAGCGCATACCGACTGGTAGAAACTGCCTTTCGACTAAAAAATATTTACCTGACTAAATGAGAACGGACCATATTTCAATGGTAAGCGTTTTTCCTTAGATATAAACAAAAACATGCTCTGACTAGGATGAGAATGTTTATTTGCATTGATTTAGAAGTGGAAACTCTTTGACGCAATTTTACATAATTCCTGAGAATTATTAGTTGGACGTCTTAAACATAAAAGAACTTTTCTTAGAGGTTCAGACCCATTCAGTGAATTATACAGTCTGTGCATGTCACTACTATTCTCTTGTAGAGCTTAGTCACGAAGCCACCTTTAAAATTATCATTGAGCTTAAAACCCCAAGGAATTAAATGAGAAGAACCTTTCTAAATTCCTATATGATAATCAAGAGATAAATCATAATCCCAGAAATACGTTAAAAAGAAAACTAATCTCAAGACCATGTATTTGCAGTATTACTTAAGATAATAATTCCTGATGCCTTGGAACAATGACTCAGCATTCTGAATATCTAAAAATGCTTACAAAATAGGAACAAATCGTACTCATTGATCTCGACGTTGGGTAGCCAAAGTAACAGATTTATTTTGTTTATTTAAACATAAATATTAGTACAAGGAGGCACCAAACAGATGTGCGTAGCATAAATCATTCGATTCATGTAAGGGCTGTGATACTGCCCGGGTGCCCAAACCGAAGCAGGTGGTTTTCTTAGGGTGTCACACTTCGAGCCTTTGACCTAAAGGTCTAATCCACGAGGCAGTAGAGCGACGTGAGATGTAGCCCCCAAATGCCCTGGTATGGCCGAGAGTGGGGAGAGTTTGCTCTCTCTCTCTCTCGAAATACTCTCACACGGCCACGCGTATATAGCCTCTGCCAGAAAAGTCCTACTCACTGCCTTCTCGTGGCGGGGGTGTTGTTCACGAAAATGAGAGGACGAAAAGCGAATGTCCGGCGCTTTAACCGGATCACAAACCAATGGTGCACATGGGCTCCAGTATCCTGCGGGAACAAATGGCGTATGAACCAATCGTTGGTCACCGGCTACCATGGGACTGCATCTCCTTACGATGCTCCACTGCCTTGTGGGTTAGACCTTTAGGTCAAAGGCTCGGGGTGTGGCCCCCTAAGAAAACCACCTGCTTCTGTCTGGGCACCCGGGCAGTATCGCAGCCCTTACATGAATCGAATGAATTATGATGCGCACATCTGTTTGATGCCTCCTTGTACCAATATCTGCGTTAAAATACTAATAATAACAATAATAATAATACAATGTTAGTCAAATTAACGTCTGCAACTAACTGGCCATTATTGACTGCGTCAAGTGATGCTACCCATTCATCCAGATTTACATCAGATATACTTCCAGAGTTTGTAATTTCTTTTGATTTTTAAGGAACTACCTTTCTACTGCAAGATTCATCGTAATATGGTGCACAAAAAATATTTTATTTCATGGCTAATCTGTATCAGTACCTCGTCTGGATTATAGAGGATGAAGTAGTCAGGTGTTTTGATCGTTCCACTTATTTTCCCAATAATAGTAGTAATATTAAGTTTATTTAGTATCTTCTTGATGCAAGAGTGTCGCCTCACGGTCAGCAGCATCTGCTTATTTCCAGATATTTCGGAAGAAATTGCCATATTTTTTTGCAACATCTTGTTAATCAACCCAGACACAAAAAACACTTTCGTTTGAACGAAACCATATTGTTTTGGCCCAAACTATCCGCTCTGTAGTATTGCATAGCTTTCAGAAGAAGATATTGTTTTGAATGCATTGTTTGCGTTCCGTAAAACAGCCGAATGAGTAATGCTGGTGATGATATGTAGAATACCAAATAAAAATAAAAAATCGGTTGAAAATATCATACATCTTTACGGACTAGGATTTGTTTCTTTTTTTGGGAGGGGGGGTAATCGTTGTAATTCTCTCTTGAGTAGGGTTTGATTAGTAAATAGTTAGGGATGGTCAAGCCAATATATGAAGCCGATATCTGCAATAATTGAATTTTATCACGTACAGGTATGTCAACTTCATGTTTGGGATGTAGTATTGGGGTTAGTGTAAATCAGTGGTTGGATAACTCAGGTAATATGGCTCAAGATCGACGTTTTATTTATTTATTTGAACACATAAATATTGGTACAATAGAGCGCCAATATATATGCGCCACACAAAACAATGGGAATTCGAAGAGAAGTAGAAAGAAGGAAAAAAAAACAACTAAGGAACGCAAAAGAAAAAGAGAACAATGACGAAGAGATTGGAGTAAGGTAGTGTGGTAGTAACGACGGAACGAAAAGGTACAATTAGAAGAAATCTTTCAGGTAAAGGAGACACAACCACTTTTTATGAAGAAAGTAAAAGAAGGTTACAGCAGGATCGCCACTGGCTTATATTCTGAGCCATATCTGATAACGTCTCTAGCCACTGTGTCGCACCATCTCTCGGACCCCAGCCAGGGAGTCGTGAAGGACCAACACAAGCCAGTCCTTTGCAGCTTTCTTTCATGCCACGACACCATGTCATGCACTGACCACCTCTCCGCTTCTTCCAACCAGTCCCAGAGTCGGCAAATAATGCACGACGTGGAATTCTCTGGGACGACATTCGGAGAACATGTCCAAGCCACCGAAGTCGGTGTTTCAAGATGGTGACACCAATTGAATTATCATCTCTGTGCCCGAACACACGATGCCGAACCTCTGCATTACTAACATGGTGTTGCCACTGGATGTCAGCAATCCTTCGGAGACAGCGATGATCGAACACAGAGAGTCGTCTAACGTCCTCAACTCGGAGAGGCCAGGTTTCACAAACATAGAGCAAAACTGCTCTCACCGACGCGTTGTAGATCCGGCCTTTTACAGCCAGACTAACATCACGAAGGCGCCAAAGGTGGCCCAGATTGGCATAAGCCGCTCTGGCTTTCACTATTCGTGCATTGATCTCATCACTCACACCCCCACCAGCACTTATGCAGCTACCCAGATACACGAACTTCTCGACTACTTCTATCTGCTCACCATCCAGGGTGAGTACAGGATTAGAATCCTGCCAGTCTTGTAGAAGTACTTTGCACTTCGAAGGTGCAAAGCACATACCATACCTACGGACACTGATTGCCAACTGATTAAGTGCGGATTGCATGCCTTGGGCATTATCGCACAGTAAGACAATATCGTCCGCATACTCAAGGTCGAGAAGTCTTTCTCCAGGCAACAGATCCACACCACCATTACTTACATTCATCAGAGCTGTTTCCAGAATGTCATCGATGGCAAAGTTGAAGAGGAATGGTGAGATTGGGCAACCCTGCCTAACCCCACTGCTCGAATGGAACAATGGAGAGAGGTGGTTGTATGCCCTCACTCTGCCTGAGGTGTTTTTATACAGGGCTTTTAGGATGTTAATAAACTTCTCAGGCACACCCTTCTTCAATAGACAATCCCAGAGAACAGTCCTATCCAACGAATCGAAGGCAGCCCTGATGTCAAGAAACACTACGATTGTTGGCCTTTGAAAAGTATGGCGGTGTTCTAACATTTGGCGAAGGGTGAAGATATGATCAATACATCCTCGACCAGAACGAAACCCAGCCTGCTCCTCGCGAGTCAATCTTTCTCGGGTTTTGAACAACCTACGAAGAATGACGGAAGCCAATAGCTTGGACGCAATCGGAAGTAAACTTATCCCCCGATAGTTGTTACAAGAACGACGTGAACCCTTTTTAAAGATAGGGACAACTATCGACTCATTCCATGACGTTGGTACACTCTCTAGTTCCCAAACCTTTGTAAACAACGTCGTCAATTCCTTATTCAAAAAGTCGCCACCATCTTTAAAAAGAGCCGGAGGTAAGTCATCTGGACCAGGTGATTTGTAACGCTTCAAGAGTTGGAGTTCCTTGCGGACTTCCTCCTCATTTGGTGGATCAGTCGTCACCGGCCATGGAGGGCAGGACAGTCTGCTAGGGCCCCCTGAATGCCCTGGTACGGCCGAGAGTGGGGAGAGTCCGCTCCCCCTCTCGAAATACTCTCACACGGCCACGCGTATACAGCCTCTGCCAGGGAAGTCCTACTCATTGCCTTCTCGTGGCGGGGGTGTTGTTTACGAAAATGAGAGGACGAAAAGCGAATGTCCGGCGCTTTAACCGGATTCCAAATCAATGGTGCACATGGGCTCCAGTATCCTGCGGGAACGAATGGCGTATGAACCAATCGTTGGTCACCGGCTACCATGGGACTGCATCTCCTTACGATGCTCCACTGCCTTGTGGGTTAGACCTTTAGGTCAAAGGCTCGGGGTGTGGCCCCCTAAGATAACCACCGGCTTCGGTTTGGGCACCCGGGCAGTATCACAGCCCACACACAAATTGATGAACTCTTTATGCCTATGGAAATTACCTTTCTCGCTTTGAAAAACAAACAAGATCGACGGCGCTTTAAGATTGTGTTTTTATAATCACCTGTAAGCGTTCAATATCTGTTAGGATTCCAATCCATGTTGACTGGTAACTAGTTATTTATTACCATTCCGCTTTCGGTTCTCTTCATGCTAAATATAATATTTTTATTACTGTTTATTAATTCATATATTCTAAAGAGAATACGAATGGTGAATCCTTATTTTAACTGGTTTGCTTATTGTATATTTTGGCAACAGCTAAATAAAAGTCTCACTCATTGTATCTGGAAATTTATATATGTAGCTATTTCGAAGAAATAAGCGAATAGACACAATGTCAGGTATTTGGAGGAAGTCGACAGAAAACCCTGGAACTAATTTTCGTACCATTTAACAGTTCTGCAATTCTTTCCTCTAGTTTTGAAGAGACTGATGCTGCTTAATGGGTATGAACCCGTGTCATTCAGCTTTGCACTATGAGATGTTACTACTAGGCCATTCGAGCGATAACTGACTTCTGCAGACCTGAGGTATTTAAAATTGATTGATCACTAAGTAATTACCAGTGTCATGCTTGCCTTGTCATTTTAGTGCTGACTGAATTCTATCAACCAAATTAGTGCGGCACTCGTTCAGGTGACTCGATATCATTTGCACTACGTTGGGATGTTGTATGGTTGGAGTTAGTTGACAGGAAACCCTTGTACCCTTCTGATTTCATGCCTTTCATGGCCTTAATAACCACATATTGAGTAGTTTCTACGAAAATCAAAAATCGATTAGATTTTATTTATGAAAGCTTCCGACCTTGTGAAAAAAGGCTATCAATATTTTGCATCTGTTTTTCTTACACCTAGGTTTATTCCATATAAAGCCGGATCTACGTAGTTCACCTAATCCTGTAAAAGTGAAACATGTCAATATGATTTGTGGCGGGTCTGGTATAACACCAATGTTCCAGCTATTATCTTACATACTTCAGTCTAAAGATGATACAACACAAATAGCAATGGTCTTTGCCAATGTGGTACGTGGATTTAAATATGTGGGGAATTTTACATTAGTTGTACATTTTCACTGTTATCATTTGCATTTTTGACGCTAGCTTCTTGTAACCCAGACGAGATCTTTGCCTGTCAACGAGGTGAAAATACTCTACAGGAATTTGTCATGTATCACTATGACTTTAAAACGTGGTCTATGAAATCAAGGGATGTATATAGACTGCAAGTGTTTGATCGTAAGCATCTTCAAAGCATCCCTCAATTATAATAAAACTACCGAACACTTAATGTTGAGGTTTATGAGTACTGTAATAAGTATGAACGACTAGTCGTCTGGTTCGAGTATGAACCTTTACGGTGCGTATGCTTAGTCACCACCTATAGTAACATCCAACCCTCGTTCACTTGTAAGTTTGGAAGGACGTAAAGGCATGAAGATCGAGGTAGGATTAGTTCACAAAGTAAATAACTGCTGGTTTGACTCATGTTCATAGGTTCAGGAATCCTGGTTGAAGGTCTACAGTATATACGTAATTAGTCGTTGAGTGAAATCGCGCAAAATTTTTCTCGGTGGATACGTCTTATTCATTCTTTATGTTCCTCGAAATCTTGAGTTAAATGTTACTCAATCAGTCAGTCAGTCAGTCAACCACAACGTAGAACCTGTAAGTATGTACATCGGTTCAAGTTGTCGTACCCCATTAGTATAGAGAAATGAAGTTGTCAGGTCAATTCCCAGAAAAGTAGAGATAGTCACAGTAAGTGTTACTCCTACATTCTTATTTGGCCATCTCGATTTTTTTCCTTTTGAAACGTATTTCTGTTGACTATATTTCTATCTCAGTTGAAATTTCAAGTTCTTTTTTTACTCATTACTTTCTTCTCTGGCTGTGTTGATGTAAGGCATGGAAACTTGGAACAATAAACATTTATGTCTGATCTTTAGTTGATGACTAGCTGATTGATAACCACCTCAAAATATATCTGTCAAAATTATTTGCGTAGTTTCATAGTTTCATAAACATCTTTTTAGTCTGAGAAATCGGTGATGAAGGAGTAAATCCTTCTCAAGCGTGATGGCTGAGGCATGTTATGTATGCCCAGCCACCACCTATCTCCACTTCCTATATTAAAGAGCTGAGAACCAGTTGGAAGAAAATTAGATGTTAGTCAAAAAGTTGCATCAGCCGACGAGGTTATTGATTATCTCCTTGGGTCATCTAAATAGATTGTAGATTACCTGGTCGACGTTCACACAACTATCGTAAACAATAATCTCAGGTGTTAAGTGATATGGTTTCGAATCGGTGGCAATTGAAAAAATGCCTTCACTCTCTCTGTCCTACTTAAATCTTGAGTTATTAAATTACCTCATTTATTTTATTCTACCATTTTATTCTTTGTTCAGAATCATATTGTTTATGTCTAATGTTGCCCATAACAACTGACACTAACTGCTTCTACTACTCTATCATTTGTCTTGATAATTATTATTTTACCGTGTCAATATGCTATGGAAACTCAAATTGATGTATTAATGTGCCAAATTTTGCATTATATTTGACTGACTATGAAATTGATTAGTATTCTGCCCCCAAATGCCCTGGTATGGCTGAGAGTGGGGGGAGTTTGCTCTCTCTCTCTCTCTCTCGAAATACTCTCACACGGCCACGCGTATATAGCCTCTGCCAGAAAAGTCCTACTCACTGCCTTCTCGTGGCGGGGGTGTTGTTCACGAAAATGAGAGGACGAAAAGCGAATGTCCGGCGCTTTAACCGGATCACAAACCAATGGTGCACATGGGCTCCAGTATCCTGCGGGAACAAATGGCGTATGAACCAATCGTTGGTCACCGGTTACCATGGGACTGCATCTCCTTACGATGCTCCACTGCCTTGTGGGTTAGACCTTTAGGTCAAAGGCTCGGGGTGTGACCCCCTAAGAAAACCACCTGATTCGGTTTGGGCACCCGGGCAGTATCGCAGCCCATCCACGCAAATATGGTGTGGCGCATACATATTTGGTGCCCTCTTGTACCAACATTTATGTGTTTAAATAAATAAATAAATAATCAATTGATATCGGTTAAAAAAGCAAGTAAATAGTGAGCACAATTTTAGTAATCTGTTTTGATTTTTTTAAAGGTCCAAAGTACATAACATTGATGTGTCTCTATTTTAAAGCGAAACATCTACTCAGTATTTCCTAGATCATATAACTTGATTTTTCTTTTTATAGAAATGAACTTAACATCATTTTAGGTTACTTCATTTTAATAATATACACTTAACAACTCACTTATCTTTTAGAAAATCTAAACCAATTCTTTCAACAGATAATTTAGAAGTACAAACATAACACAATAATGTGAAATACAATTTAAAATAGTGATGGTCGTGGCATATTAGTTGCTTGATAAAAAGTCGTTTTTCGTTTGAACCAAAGTTGATGTGCATTTATTTCACACTGTCCAAACATCAACACAAAACTGGATGTACATTCAGTTAGCAAACCATAGATAAAAAAGGCATACGTTCTGGATCCCATTACAAGTCATTGACAAAAATTTATTTTAACAGTTGAATTCACGAGGTGGTCTAAACTGCCCCAAATGCCGTGGTACGGCTGAGGGTAGGGAGAGTCCTCTCTTCCTCTTGAAATGCTCTAATGTGGCCATGCGTATAAAACCACTGACAGGGAACTCCTGCTCACTGTCTTCTCGCGGGTGCTGTGTTTGTCAAATTGAGAGGACGAAAAGCGAATTTCTGGCGCTTTAGGTGGGTAGGTTGTAGAGGGGATCTATCTAAGGGAGTTGGAATACCCTGATTCCAAACTAATGGTGCACATGGGCTCCAGTATCCTGAGGGAACAAATGGCATATGAACCAATTGTTGGTCACCGGTTACCATGGGACTGCATCTCCGCACGTTGCTCCACTGCGTTGTGGATCAGATCTTTGGGTCCTAGGCTCTGGGTGTAGCTCCTTAAGGGAATCACCTGTTTTGGTCTGGGCACCCGGGCTGTATCACAACTTACCAACTAACCAAGTGACTTGTGTGTCGCATATTTTGTACTCTTTTGTACCAATGTTTATGAGTTCGAATAAATAAATAAAAAACCACCATCGAAAACTTGGAAGCACTGGACGGCCGTTCCGTTCTAGTATGGGACTCCTCAGCGTGCGTATCCACGATCTCGCACACGGGATTCGAACCCAGGACTCCCAGGCTAACGCTTATCCTGGCATTCAACAGTGCTAATTTCTAACTTTATTCGAGGAGACTCACACTAGGATGAAACAGTCATCTAGTTCTTCCAAGTTTTCAATGGTGGTTTAGCATAAATCAACTCATGAATTTAACTTTGAATATACTACAATCTTCACTAATGCTTATATTGATTAAAATGTGTTTGCATGTTATAGATCGCTGAAATAGTTGTTCATCATTTTATATAACCTAAGAATTGTACTGCTTATATCTACATTATTATTATTATTATTATTATTATTATTATTATTATTATTATTATTATTATTATTATTATTATTTATTATACCAGTTGTCTTTGCAGATCTCGTTTCATACAAACAACAAATAAATTCACTTTACATCATTGTCTAAAATGGTAGTTTCTTTAATTGATGTAATTAGGTTCTTTGATCATTATTAATATTTCAGACTGAAAAAGATATTATACTACGTGATGAACTAGAAAATTTCAAAGATAAATATCCAAATCATTTTCGTCTTTGGTATACATTGAATGAAGCACCGGAACGTAAGTATTATACCTTTATTCATTTATTACTTCATTCACATTTATCATTTATTTGTTATTGTTAAAGATAAATTATTAGGTAATATATGGAAAACAATCAATAATACTGGAGAAATCCCGATCGAAGCTGCTACCTTGACGCGGTGGTCGGGCTTGCCTATCGTGATGACCCAACCGAGCTATATTGGCTGGAACATATGTTCCTGCAGGTTCTACCATGCCAGGCAGGTCGATTGGCGAACGGTAAGACTAAAAGCAGCAACTCAAGGTCTGAGGGCGAAGTCGTACTGCTGACTGTAGAGAGGTGTGACAGCAGTAAGGTGTTTCCCTCGGACAACCAGCATGACAGCGATGCTGCCTTCCCACAAGGAGGGGTGGGGTTAGAAAAGGTCGACCCTAAAAATGCACACCTCACCTTACCTCACGGATTTCCGTCTCCGGCGGTAAGGCCCCTTGAAGAACGGAGCTAACACGTCAAAAACCTTCCACAAAAAGGCCGTGCGCGACCGGCCTCAAGCAGTTGTCCCTTGGGCTCTGCGATCACGCTCCCAGGTCGTCAAGACCAACACTAATCCAATTTCCTTTTCAGGTTCCTCAAGAAATACCCTTCCACGGTGTGGGCAGCCGGGAAGTGACATCAGCCCTCATACCCGTAACAGCACAAGAGACCAAGGTGGTCACATTCAAATCCTTCCTACACCTCCTAATACCTCTCTTATCCTCCCGACTAACCCTCCTCACGTCTCTTTATCACCTCGCACCGCTAGGGCAAACGATTCGAGTACGTGGAACGCCATTCCTGGTCTCCTGAAACCACGCTCTAAACTACACGTAGGAGCTTTTAACGTACGAACACTTTGTCAAATAGGACAGCAGGCTTCCTTAGCTAAAACTTTAGAATCTCGCGCCATCGATGTGTGCTGCGTCTCCGAAACGCGCATACAGGATCCAAGTAGTGTCATTCATTTGACCTCACCATGCCAAAATAAAGAACCGACTCGATTTACGCTTCGTGTATCTGGAAGCCCTGATTCTGCTTCCCGTGGCCTCGCCGGCGTAGGTATAGCATTGAGTCCTAGGGCAGAACTAGCTCTCTTAGAGTGGATCCCAGTAAATAGTCGTTTGTGCGCTGTCCGACTGAACGGAACAGTAAGAATCCGGAAAGATAGGGACACTCGTCGTTGCCTCTTCGTCGTCTCTGCCTATTCTCCCACTGACTGCAGCTCAGATGATGTAAAAGATGAGTTTTACAGAAAGCTTTCGGACCTTCTCCGAAAAGCTAAGCGCTCGGATGTAGTAATAGTGGCCGGTGACTTTAATGCTCAAGTAGGTAAACTAAGCGATAAGGAAAGACACCTAGGTGGATCTTATGGTGTCGTGGCTCAAAGAACAGATAATGGCGACCGTCTGTTGCAGCTATGCTCAGATAACCGCCTGTTCCTTGCAAATACTAACTTTAAGCATAAGGAAAAACATCTTTTAACATGGCGACCCCCTAATTCGTCCCAACGTTGGACCCAAATAGATCACATCGCTATCAGCCACCGATGGAGGGGCTCGATAGAAGACTGTCGCTCATTCTGGAGCACATGCCTAGATTCAGATCATGCTCTAGTGCGAGCGCGTATTTGCTTGCGTCTTACTGGACGTAGGAAAGATCCTGCAAGTAAACCTCTTAGGGCCCTACTTAATGATAGTCAAGCTAAGAGTATATTTCAGGAACAACTAGGAAAACAGTTAGGCAGCCATGTATGTGATGCCCACCCCGATGCAGCATGGAACGATATCCGAAAAGCTGTGGAAACAGCAGTGATATCTGCTAGTAAGGTAAACCAGAAGGTTAGGGAGCAACACTGGATCTCAGCAGCATCTATCTCACTGATAAATGCTCGGAAACACATTCCACCTGGCTCTGAACATAATGAAGAGTGGAGTCAGCTTAAGCGCAAGCTGACAAGAAGTCTACGCAATGATCGCGAACAGTGGTGGGTAGCGAAAGCAAGAGAGATGGAAAAGGCAGCGGCAATAGGTAATAGCAGACAATTGTTCAGACTCGTTAAGGAAACCTGAATTAGGAACCCGACCGTTAGCGAAACAATCTCAGAGAAAGATGGACATATTATTCATTGTCAATCCAGGAGATTGGATCGATGGGCAGAACACTTTAGGGATCAGTTCAACTGGCCTTCAGCCACACTTCGGTTTCCCACGATCTCCAGTCAACCTGAATGGCAAGTTAATGTAAGTCCTCCGTCCCTTTACGAAGTTGAAAAAGCCATAGGAAATCTGAAACGAGGGAGAGCAGCAGGCCCTGACAGGTTTACTCCTGAGATTTTTAAGGATGGTGGTCCAGTATTAGCAATGAGATTAACTGAGGTCTTAGGTAGAATTTGGGAACTGGACGTAATCCCATCTGACTGGTCTCAATCACTGATTGTGCCAGTTTTTAAGAAAGGACAAAAGTCCTCTTGTGACAATCACAGAGGAATCAGTTTGACTAATATAGTGTCTAAAATTTTAGCCTCAATAATACTTCGACGCCTAACTAAAGCTCGTGAAGAGCAGACTAGAGAAAACCAGGCTGGTTTTCGACCTGGACGTGGTTGTATCGATCAGATATTCACACTACGTCAGGTTCTAGAACACAGACACACATTCAGACGCCCCACAATGGTAGTATTTCTCGACCTTAAGGCGGCATTCGACTCTGTTGATCGTGAGGTTCTATGGCAGTGTTTGTCACTGAAAGGAGTACCAAAGAAGTACATTAACCTTATAAAGGCTCTCTACTCGAACACAACTGGTCGAGTGAGAGCTTATGGCGAACTGTCATCCGAATTGATTACCTCAAGTGGTGTTCGTCAGGGCTGTCCACTTTCCCCATTCTTGTTCAACTTTGTGGTCGACGTACTTTTAGAGATAACACTCTCCTCATCTAAATTTCCAGGGGTTGAACTTCTACCAGGAGGTTCACTTGTTGACTTAGAATATGCAGATGACATAGTTTTATTTGGTGAAGACGCTGACAAAATGCAGAGTCTTCTGAACACTCTAAGCAACAATGCAAGCATGTTCGGGATGCGATTCTCTCCCTCGAAATGCAAAATGTTGCTTCAGGATTGGGTTACATCGACACCCGAACTAGTGATAGGGAGTGAAGTAGTTGAGTGTGTCGACCGCTTCACTTATCTTGGAAGTCTCATCAGCCCTTGTGGTTTGGTGTGTGACGAAATCTCAGCACGGATACAGAAGGCTCGACTAGCTTTTGCCAACTTGCGTCATTTATGGCGTAGGCGAGATATCCGTCTATCAACCAAAGGACGTGTTTACTGCACAGCAGTTCGTTCCGTCCTACTTTATGGCAGTGAAACATGGCCGGTAAGAGTAGAGGATATCCGTAGGCTACTAGTATTTGATCATAGGTGTCTTCGAAACATTGCTCGTATATCATGGGACCATCGAGTAAGTAACACAGTTGTTAGGAAACGGGTACTAGGTAAGGATGGCAAATCAATTGATGAAGTAGTGAAACTTCATCAGTTGAGATGGCTGGGACACGTGTTACGTATGCCCTACGACCGACTGCCTCGACGTGCTATGTTCAGTGGTATAGGAGTAGGTTGGAAGAAAGCTAGGGGCGGCCAAACCAAAACATGGCACAAATCCATGAAGTCACTGACAAGTGGACTGAGTCATGTTGGTAGGTGTAGACTACCTGGTTGGGGACCGCGAGATGACAGCAACCGATGGTTAGAGACCCTGAATGACATGGCTCAAAATCGTTTGCAATGGCGCAGGTGCATCCACTCTCTGTGTTCTCCCAAACTCTAATCTTCTGAATTCTTCATGTCCCTTTTTTCCTCTTTCAAAATTTCTTTCACTGTATTATACTCTTTAAATAACATCTCCAAACCCTAATCTTCCCGATTACTACTTATACTCTTATTACCTCTATCACTACGGGATTTGAATCGACAAGTGCATCTCTGTGCTAATGTGGTGTGGCAACTCGAACTGATGTACGTACGTACGAAGTTCTACGTGTTACTGACTGACTGACTGAATACTGGAGAAAATTGAAATGAATTGACTGCATAGTGTAATTATTATAAGTTCGGTTAAAATTGTAACTCAGACCAAATTTTCCTTCAATTTCAATGAATACAGATAATGAATGGATATGGAAAGTCTTTAAGAGTACATCAGTCATGCTTCAAATGAAATATTACATAGTAAACAGATAATAGTTGTTATTTTTAAAAAGCTACTTAGATGGTGGTTGGAAGTAGTCGACAGGAAACCCTGGACCCGGGTTTCGTGCTACTTGAAACTTGTCAGCAAGGTGTACCTGTAATCTTGAGGGAACTGGTGCTCCCTGACGGATTCAGTGATAACGTCTCTGACCGTAAAGCTGGGTGACACGGGATCACGTAGCACGAAACCCGGGTCCAGAGATTTCCTGTCGACTACCTCCAACCACGATCTAATTCTAATATAGTGCACGCAGTGTCGAGTCACCTAGATTGGTGGCCACATGACAACTTGGTCGACAGCATTCGATCTGCACTAAGAAGGACTTGACACACAGTGACCAATAAATTGTGAATCAGCTACTTAATTGTATGCAAAAGAATATTCATATTTTTTGGTGTGTCATATGATGACACGTGATGAATCCCATTGGATTACGGACACACTTTTCTGATAAGTATGAATAGGCACTAAATGTAGATACAGGGTCTCTATCAGTTGTCTTTAAATAAGTAACATCAAACAATGTTCACCGCAATGCCGAGTTACCTAGCAACCTACATTGCAGCTTGATCGATAGTGGGAAGATAGCATCAATGCAAACATTGGCTATCTGAGGAAAACACCTCAATACGGCTTGTAGTACGATTTCTCTCTTGAATTTTGAGTTGTTCCTTTTAACCTTAACGTAATCCGGCTTCATTCCTTGGCATGGTAGTTCCTAAAGAATCATATATTCCAGACTACATAGACCAATTGAGTCATCACGGTATACAAGCTTGATCAGGATATCAGTACGACATCTACGGTCGAGTAACAAGTGTGAAATCTTTATACTTATATCTACTTCTGTTAAAGGTGTATTTCACACACATTCATGACAAGCTGATAACGACCTAGGTCTTTATCATTTATTAATCTTCTTTCAACGTTATGTAAATTAGCGCTTAATAACCATATAGATATCCATATACTATGAGCTATGAACTGCTGCCAAATATTAAACTCTAAACTAAAAATACCTCGCATTCTCACAGAGATTTAAACCTATTTAGTAAGTTTTTCTAGTCGACGACAAACGACTGGTAAATTAATGAGTTTGTAGGTATCATTACGGTGTAGCAATGGGATCCCCCGTGTCCCCGATTGTAGCCAACCTTTTTATGGCATACATAGAATCAAATATCTTCGCCCACAACATTATACCACGAATTTGGCTTAGATATGTAGATGATACATTTGCTATTTTAAAAAAGACTTATCTAAGATCTTTTTCAAAACGGATAAATACACTTTCATCTCACATCAAATTCACGAATGAAAATGAAAATGAACGTGGTGAGCTACCATTCTTGGATTGCTTAGTAAAAAGAAATCTAAATAGAATTCTAAACCTATCCATTTACCGAAAACCTACGCACTCAAATCGTTATATTGACTTCCATTCAGCACATCCTTTTAGTGCTAAGATCTCGCTAGCATTAAATCTTTTTAGAAGAGCTAACAAGATCATCACATCAGAGGAAAACAAACAAAAAGAACAAAAGAATGTAATTAGCATCTTACAATTTAATAATTTTCCTATGAAGATTATTAGCAGTATATTAAAACAAGACAGTTCAGTACGTTATAATAATGATTCAAATGAAACGCCATGGATTGGTACTGCAGTTCTACCATACCGTCATGGCACAACAGAAGAACTCCAAAGAATCTTAAAACAACACAGAATTAAAGTATATTACAAAACAACGAACACACTTCGAAATACTTTAGTTCGCTTAAAAGAAAAAATCCCATTCATGTCCATTGTGATGCCTTCTATATTGGAGAGTCATCTCGCGAAATCTTGACTAGAGCCAAAGAACATATTAGGTACACAAGGAAACCTCCTAACAATCCCGTAGAATTGGATCAACTTCAAATTAAATCGGCAATGGCAGTTCATGCCATTTTCAACGACCACCAAATTGATTTTAAAAATATCAAAATATCGTTTAAAGATCCCCGTCATATCACAAAAAGGCTTTTCCAATTACAACGAAAGGAGAGTAGCTGAAGCGTTCCATATAATGCTTAATCCTATATCTCTCAATAGAAAAGAAGGCCTTAGCATACATCCTACTTGGACTATCTATCCTAGCCATTCAGTCTGATCGTATTTACAATTAACACTGTCATCTCACAAATTAAACTCTATCCTTTCTCATCATAAAGGTCACGATTTTTCATCCCCAAACAGTACATACATACATACACACAAATTTACATATATATCACTTATGAATCACCTTGACCGAAATGACAACATTAACTTGTCCAAACCTGTTTTGGATTGATCACATATTATTCTTATATTGTTCCGTTGTACTATTTAAACTTGGATTAATTTTAATTTGGTTATTTATTCCCTGAAGAAGTGACCTACACTAAGTCACGAAACGTCAGAAAATCTAATTTTTCTACTATTTGGGATATGACAACTATGTTATTTATTTATCACCGGTAAAGTTTTTTGACCCACAGAAACATGCAGACACTTGCATCCTCCCTGTTAGATCAGATTAGTTAATTTTTTCCTTTAAATCTAAAAATATCCATTAAACTCTGTGCTCTTGTTGTGTATCTTTAATTGTTCAATATAGGTTGGGCATACAGTACTGGTTATGTGAATGAACAAATGTTACAAGAGCATATTTATCCAGTGAAAGATAATGATACAATCACATTAATTTGTGGTCCACCATCATTTATTGAATTTGCTTGCCTTCCATCACTTACTAAATTAGATTATCCGAAAAATATGATTCATGTCTTTTAAGTATTGGTTTGCTTATTGTTAATCTATTTGATTGGTTTTAATTGGTTTTGTTGGTTCCAATTTATCTGTAACTTTTCATTAGTTGTCATGATAACATTAACCTATTATATTGGGGTTTAGTTTGCATGGGCAAGATACTACTATTATCATTTATTTTCTTTATCTAATAATATCGATTGTCAAATGTTTTAAATAAATATTTTATGCTTAAGTTTTCTAAGTTTTTCCAATTACTATACATATCGATGTAATTGTATCCATATTCCATGAGAGGTCTGCTTCCAATTGATTCAAATCAATACGGTTAATTATCTCCAATGAGATTGTCTATTAATAGTCAGATGATCGTTGAGGATTCCAAGTTAATAGATTACTGAAATAAATGATTGAGGCGATTATTTCGATTTCTTACTATTGGCAGTAACATCTGAACTGGATCGATTTCAGAAGGTAGAACTATAGAACGACTAGTTGATTCAATTAGCTAATACATTAGTGTGTGGTTGTTAACGGATATTACATCTCTACTGTATAATATTTGAACTGCCTCTATAGGAAATATATTCGACTGGACATAAAATTGTTTCACTTTTTGAGATTACTAACAATCAATTATTTTGACAGGATTATATTTCCGTATACTTCATTTATCCTAAAAATTGAATATTTAAAGGCGTCCTGAACGCTAGGTAAAGCTCTCCGAATGAGCGTCAAGATGCTTTGTCAGCTAGCGTCTTCAAGTAGACTGTTTCACTCTTTGTGAAAATGACTTCCTGCCCACATGGAGAAGCGAAAGTTCTAAAGTTATTCGACCTATACGAGCTAGGTCCTTTATTTCTGGAAGATGGTGACGGACCTCTGATTAAGGAACTGAACGAGTCTGATAGACTGAATCGTTCCATCACCCTTTGACAAGTTGTTTGTTGTTACTTACTTTTCGTTATGCCTGTTACCCCTTGTTGATCATAGGCCATCGATCAAGATTCTCTAACCAACTCTGTTTTGGGCAGTTCTTTCCAGTTACTATTCATTCTTTCCATGTCTACTTCCGATTCTCGACGCAGTGTGTTCTTTGGTCTTCTTTTCCGTTTTCCTTCAGGATCCCAAGTTAGCGCTTACCTCGTGATGCAGTTTGGTGATTTCCGCAATACACGTCTTATCCATTTCCAGTGAGTTTTACTAATTTCCTCTTCAGGTGGGAGCTGGTTTGTTCTCTCCCACAGTAGGCTGTTGCTGATTGTTTCCGGCCAACGGAATTGAGTGTCTTGCGTAGACAACTGTTTATAAATAATTGTACCTTTTTGGTAATGGTTGTAGTAGTTTTCCAAGTTTCAGCTCCGTACAATAGAACTGTTTTGATGTTCGTATTGAAGATTTCGACTTTGATGTTGACTGACAGTTGTTTTGAGTTCCATATGTTCAACTGTACGAATGTTGCCCTTGATTTACCAATCCTCGTGGTTACGTCTGTGTTGTGGATGCAGAGGAATAGACCAATAATTATCATGCTAAGTCCAATGGTGTCCTTGGACTTTAAATGGATATTTTCTATTGGTCGATATCTGTTCACTTGTTGAGTATTGTACAAAATGTTGTTTTCTATTTTATGGTACGATGTGGTATGCTTGATTGGTATATAAACAAAGTATGTTTGAAATATAATGATTCATATCTCAGAGGCTGTGGCTTGTCTTCTGGACTCAACTAACTGGGCTAGACAGGGAAGTAGGACCAATCAGAACTGTAGGCCGTTCGTTCGTGTTTACGTGTCACTGTCACCGAATCGATCAATAAACGCTGCTTATCAAAACCTGCAGTCACACCCGTTATAACAGTCTGCATTATATTAACCTTGTTCACCGAAGATGCCGCCCAGCTACGTAAAACTCTCCAACTTTTCTAGAGCTTTTCTATCAATTGTGATCTGTTTGGTGCTCGTTGTACTGTATTTGAGGATCTTGCTTTCTCTCTTGTTTATGTTGAAGCCTCATGTTGCTTCACTTGCATTTGCTCGTGTGTATAGGACAGAAGAGCTAGGTCATCTGCGATTTCCAAGTCATCTAGTTGCATCAAAACTGTCCATTTTATCCTATGCTTTATGTGTCTTCACATTCCAGTCAATCTCCAGGAGAAAGAAAAGGCGACAGTAAGCAGCATTATCTGACACCGGTCCTCATTTAGAAAGGGTCTGTCAGCTGCCTTGCATGCATGACTTTGCGGTTTAGTCCATTTCGTGAATTCCGTATGATGTTGACGGTTTCTCAGGTACACCCTAGTGTCGAAAAAAGTCTCATAGGGTTATCTTATCCACGCTGCCAAATGCTTTCTTATAGTCAAGGAAGTTGGTGTATAGTGGCCTGTGGTGTCGGCACACGGTCGATTTTTACGGAATCCGGCGTGTTGATCTCGAAGTTGGGCGTCTACTTAACTTTTTATTCGGTTCGACAACAGTGTTAGAAACTTTTAGTGGTACTAATAGTCGTTTTATACCTCTCTTGTTCCCATAATTACTGAGTTTTCTCTTTGATATTTTCATGAGGTATCCATCTTTCCAGTCCATCGGAACTCATCCTTCCTCCTCAGTCCTTCTGGATAGAATGTGGAGCATGTTTGCAGTTACTTCTCTGTCTGACTTTACTGCTTCAGCTGGTATGTTGTCTGATCGTGCTACTTTTCTACTTCTGATTTATCTGATGACCATGCTTATTTTTCCGATTGTTGGTAGAATGACACCCATAATAAGGTTTGTATGTGCTGTTTTGATATCCACTGAGATTGGTCTATTCAAGAATTATTCAAAGTCCTCTACCCACCTGTTCCACTGTTCTTGAGTCTTAGTTACTGGCTAGACTTCTTTGTTCTTGATTGGTCGTCAGAGTGTATTATATTTTCCTGCTAGTTTCTTCGTTGTGTCACATAGCTTTCTCATATTTCCTTCTCTCTGCCTTTTCTGCTTTCATTGCAACGTCTTCCACGTATTTCTGCTTGTTGGCTCTAACACTCCACTTGCTTGCTTGCTTCTGTGTATTCAGTTTGTGCCCTAATTTTCTCTGTTCTTGTTCTTCCTTTCGTGAATCTTGTCCAGAGTTGCCACTGAGATCCATTCCTTATGGTGATGCATGTTGCTGCCCGGCACTTCCTGACACGTTGAAGTTAGTGCTTCTTTGATCCTTTTACAGTTGTCCTCCATAGTCGTTTCTTCTATCAGTAGATCCTGTAAGGCTTGGAACCTGTTGAGATTTATCTTGAATTCATTGAGTTTGTCAGTATCCCGTAGGAAGGCTGCATTGAACCTTTGTACTTCTGTTTCCTAAGCTGTCCAGTTTTACTTTTGCTTCAGTTTCATCTTCGCCATAACCACTTAGTCACTTGAACCTATATTAGCTCCTCTCTTTGTTATCACGTCTTCCATGGATCTTTTGGATTTCTTATTAATGCAAAAGTGATTGATCTGGTTCTCTGTTGAATCTTATATAGCTTTGTGTATGTGTTTGTGTGGGAATATGGCGTCATCCACAACCATTTTGTTGAAGGCACTTATCTGTGAATCTCTCACCACTTTTACTTTCTCTCAGTCTACGCTGCCCTGTGATACCTCAATTCCCGATGCTATTCATCCTGACCTTGGTGCTTAGGTCTTCCATCAGGATTGTCAGGTCCCTTCCTGATCACCTCTCCACGACGGACTGTAGCCCCTCATATAACCTATCTTTATCTTCTTCTTTGCTTTCATCGGTGGTTGCATAGCAGTCTTTGTGACCATCTCCTTCGTTTTGAAGAATGCTTTGATGATCCTGGATCCCTGAAATTCAGTTCCTTTAAATGATTTTCATACTTCTTTGGATAGCATCGGTGTAACTCCTTGTATGTGGGAGGCATTTCCTTCATGACTAGAGTGCAATACCAACTCTCCCTAGACTAATCTTTTCCGTCCATCTTGGGTCCAATGGGTTTCGGTTTTTCCAAATATCTCCAGGTTGTATCCTTATTTTCACAGTTGTTTGACTGGTCCTCTCGGTCTCTCAAATTGCCCGAATATTCCATGTACCTAAGTTAGTTGTTACTCCGGCTGTTAGAAGGGGCATCGGGCTCAGGACTCCCGAAGAATCTTGGCTCTCACCATCAGGCATCATAATTTTAAACGAGGATCCTTTAACTCCCAGGACAGAAATTAAACGGTTTAAGTTGTTTTTTCTGATCAGCGATTTTTGGCAACATTGTTTTCTACGGGATGGGCTAGCTGACTCCATGCCGTAATCTCTTCCTGTATCCGGGCTGCGGACCGACGGTAATCTTAGCAGGGCTCTAGGTGAAGTTTTGTTCGTTATATCCCATCTTTAATAAGAGCCTACAATTTGAATGTAAACATGTACCAATGTATAGTTTTTTTTACCGATTTCGCCTGAAATATGTACTTACCTAAACTAACTTGAAATGATTGAGTATCGGTGTTGGTCAGTCCTACAGTAGGTCGATCGCGGCTCACATAGCCTGATGTGAAGCTGGATCCACCAGGGAGCATCGGTCCCCTCCATATTACAGGTTCACTGTGCTGGTGAGTGCCAACTAGCACGAAACCTAGGTCCAGGGTTCCGTATCAGCTGCCTACAACCACCACCTTACATTTCAACATGGTAAACACGATATCAGATCACCTCGACTCGTGGCTATATTTCGATTTGATCATTAGAATTCTCTCTGCACTAAGAAGGATCCGACATACATAACAATTTGCAAATGTATCATTTCGTTTCAAATTTCACATGGACTGGTAGCATATCTATAAATGCAACATAGAAGTTATCACATTTATTTATTTTTCTCAAACTGCTACGCCACACGATAGGTATTCGAATAACACAAAATCAACTTAAGTGACATTATTTGCTCAATAATGATAGGGTAGCCTGTATTCATACTAAAATTTAATCAGTAATCACCACTCTTACAACCTTCTTAACATATGAGATAAACAGTTTGCTCTACTACTTTAATTTATTTAAACACTCATGATATTCAGTATCCTCTATACTTTGTCAGAATATTCATTAAGGAAGACAATTTTCTTTATGTATTTTGATTTTATGAAAAGAAATTCGAATAAGAAGTAGTTTTGTGACAGTCATTAAATCACAGAAATATACACTGGTGTAAGCTGCTACACTCAATATTGGCGAACGTAAGTACGTCAGAAGTATATAAACCTTGTGAAGACTCTACTCTAACACTTCTAATCAAGTGAGAGCTTATAACGAACTGTCACCTGATTTTGCAACCTCAAGTGGTGTCCGTCGAGGCTGTCCACTATCTCCATTTTTGTTCAACTTGATCATAGACATACTGATGTGAATAACGTACTCGCCGACTGAGTTCTCCTACCAGGAGGTGCACTTATCGACTTGGAATACGCAGATGACAT